AAGAGCAACAAATACACGATTATGAATTCTCCTATTGAAATTCTTTTTTTTTAAATATCAAATACACAACCATTCTTTTAAAATCTATTAGTCATTTATATCAGAAAATTAATTTAAGTTTAGCAATGAGATTTGGTCTAGTCGAAATGGTTAGTTCTTCATAACGTAATGAATCCAAGTTTTTAATTCTTCACAACATAATGAATCAAAGTTGGAATCCCCACCAAGAAAGTACTCGCATTTAATACCTAATAGTATCTCGAAAAGAATTAACTTCTACAAAAGAATATATGTGTTTAGCAAAAAAATAAATAAATAAGTTTCTCGTGATCTAAACAAATTAAATATATTTGTAATAATATTTTTGAGATTTATAACTTTGTCATTCCATATTTATGAGTTTGTTGCATCCCAAATCCTAATACAAGTTTGTACTGGGACTCTAATAAAGTTTTAATGGCTTAATAAAAGAGAATAGGGACTTACATGCAAAGAAAGAAAGGTTCCAATCAGAAAAAAGAGATGAAAAGTATATAGAAACCAAATTAATTATAGTTATTGCAAGTTCACTATACTTAAGCGTAAATTAATATTATGAAAGTTACGTGATAGAACTCGGAACCAGAAAATAATTTAGCGTATTTTAAACGGAGGAAAACGCTTGGAGTTTATTTCAAGACCTTCAAGAGGCATTAAAAAGGACTACATGAATGACAAGTTATGTTGGAGTTAAATTTCTAGAAGTTTTGGATCATTAAATGTAATTATGAAACATTTAAAAAATTCAGGAAAATATGAAAATGATTCCTAATGAATTTTTTAATGTTATTTGAATTATTAAGGGTGAAACTGCCTCAAGATAAATATTCAAAAGATTAATAAGTTACTGCTAGGAGAGATATCCACATTTAATATCTGATAATACTTCAAGTGTGATTACCTCAAATAGAAAAACATGTGTGCTTATTAAAGAAAAGATTAGGAACAATGACAAATAAAGAAGCTATCAAGTGTGATATTCCAAATCAGGCTCTTAAGAGTTGAAAATGATAGAGAAAGAAGTGTATTTGCAAATGTAGTTAAATGACTAAAATGCCCTTATATCAAAAAGTTTATTAACTAGTTCTGAATTGGTAATGACAAATGTTGAATACCAAATGACAAAAAATTTATTGGCAATGACAAGTTATTTATTAAAAAGTTGTGAAAGTAATAATAAGTGTTGAATAGCCAATAATAAAAAATGTGCTGGTAATAACTAATTTTGATAGCTTTTTTCAAATCTAACACAAGGTCATTTTAGTCATTTAATTATATTTACAAAATACTAGATCAGGCACTATTTTCTTTTCTGTCATATTCAACTCTTAGGTGTATGGATTGGAAAATGATATTTTCAGGTTCTTTTTCTCGAATTTTTCCAAAAGATTATTAAGTCAAAAGTTAATTTGACCGCCTCAAAATTAATAGTTTGCCACGAATTTTAAGGGTTAAAGCCTAATTAAATTAAGGGCATTGTAGTGGGTACAGAAAGGCCCAAACTAATGCCATCCACAAGGAGCAAGGAGGAAGAAAAATTACCATAATTAAGTGCTAAATTATTTATGGTTGAGAAATTATTATGGCAAATTAGAACGTTTATCATGGTAAAAAGAGAGTAATCTTGGTAAAGTAATTAAGGTTAAGTTAACCAAGGCTTAAGGTAAATAAGATTACTAAAGCAAAACATGGTTAGGGAGAATTACACTGTCCAGATTTTATGTCTCTTTTAAAGAGTGTCGTTGTGTTTTGATAATCATTAATGGCATGGAAATTAACTTTAAAATATGAGAAAATGTTGTAAGTTAAAGGCTTAATTTCAAATGATTGTGTGATTTTGGGAAGCCATTTTCTTAAGGGGAAATAAGGCTGCTAAAATCTTTATTAAATTAAGCCTACATGAATTAGAATGTTACTCATGGAAGCATGAGTCTTGATCTAGCTAGTCTTGAACCATGGAAAAATGATAGAAAACCAAGTTGAAGCCAAGATATCAATTTTGGAGCATAAAGGGGCCATGTCTAGGTCAGGATGATTTAGTGTGTGTGGCAGCTTTGAGAATTTGTTGAATCTGAGTTTAAATATGAATTCCTCATAAAAAAATCAGGAGAGAATAATCATTCGAAAAAATTGGAATCTATGACTAGCAAAGGGTTTAGATGAGCAAGGAAACCCAAGTTGTGATTCCTATACCCAATCCAAACACTGTAGAACTTTAAACCCCAACCAAGAGGGGCAAGAGAGACAACGAACCAATGGTACAGGAGAGGAAAGGGACCTGACCATAGGAATAGGGAGGAGTGAAAAATTGAGGAGGAGCTAGAGGACAACGAAACGACGAGCAGAACCAAGGGTAGAAACGAGGAAACAACCAAGATAGATAATGAAGAAAAGAGTAAAAAGAAGGTCGGTGGAAGGTAAAGGTGGTCGAAGAAAAAGAAACTAAAGACACAATGAAACAAAGCAAATATAGAGAAAAGGAGCTAAGAAAGGAGGGAACGGAGAAGAAGTTGGCAGCGAAAGAAGAAAAATGATGAAGCAGTGATCAAGAGGGCGCAGATCTGAGAAGAAAACAAAGGAAGTTTAAGGCAGTGGAAGAAGAAAACAAGGGAACCAAGAGAAAGCAGTACAAAGGAAGATAAAGACAACAAAGGAACATTGAAAGGCTAGGGAAGCAATCAAAGGTTGCCAAAAAAGTACCAAAGACGGCGCCAGAGAGCGCCAAGCAAAATGCCTAGAAGGGAGAAAACTGACCTTTCGGAAACCCCAAGTAATGGAATATAAGTTAAGTTTTTTTAGAAGACAAAAAACTATTTTTAAAACAAGAAAACAAACAACGCCTCAAATTCCATCGAGTAAACTATTTGCTCAATTATAAAGCTCTATGGTGGAATTGAAAATCACGTTCCAATGAAGTGTTTTCTTCTCTTGATAGTTTTTCTCCATTTAAAAATTTGAGCTTTTATTGAAGCTTCATCCTCCGGTCTCAATATGTACATCTTCAAGTATAATTTTTTAGAACAAGCATCCAGAGAGATTTTTTTTTCCAAAATTTTGTTTTAAAAAATAATTTTATAAAATTGTTTTGAAAAAAAGAATTACAAAAAAACAGAATCAGGACCTTAATTTCTTGGCCCCTACTTGCCAGCTTTATGATTTGTATTATTCCATATGATTCATTCAAGCGCACAAAATAATAATAAAAGAACTCATCAGTGAAGCAATGATTTGATATTAATTAACAGTCGCAAATACTGTGTATAGGAGTTTCTGGGACCCCACTCTTAATAGATTGAAGGAATAAGTTTTAGTACTCATTGGTTTCATGAGTATTCTAAACTCATCAAATTTGGATCGTTTGTAATTTAAAATTTTTAATTAATTATTTTTAAATAGAAAAAACTTTTTTTCTTGAAAATGCTACAGTTAAGAAATTATCCTTATTTTAAATTCTATACGTATTAAAATAATTATTTTGAGCAAATAAAAATTAAAAAAAAAATCATATAGGACCATCCAAATGAGATACGAAAGGTCCAAATCTGATAAGTTTAGAGGGCTTATCGCTTTGGTTTCACATATTGAATCCTTTTTTCTTGACAGTTTCCAAAGAAATAACTTTATTTTTAGTCAGGAGACCATTTTTGGATTTTCTTTCATTCTCCTATCACCCTTCTCTTCAAAGCTTTCGCAGGCAAATTAAAGTGATGGATGTTAATTTTTATATATTTTATCTTATGTATCAAGTTCTTCTCCCCCATTAAAAATTTTATTAGTGAGAAGAATTTGATAAATTTTTATACACATAAAATAGTGATATTCTGAAAGTTTACTTTACTTTAGGTCCTTTTTCCCAAATTTTTCTTTATCAGTTTATACATTTAACCAGTTTTGGTTATAGTTCTTACACTTTTAACTAGTTTAATTTGTCCTTTGGTCCCTATACTTAATTAACCAAGTTAATTCCGTTGAACTCATATCCAAGCCCTTATGAAACGACAGAGACTAACATTTTAGTCTCCGTACCAACACTTAGAAATACAAGCATAAACACGTAAATTTCTCTCAATAGATCCATCTAGACTGCCCTTTATCCTAAATGTGTGTTTGGCAACTTAATGATCTGATCCCTCGAATTCACGATAATCCCATCGTTATTTTTCACCGCAAAGAGCAATTTAGTCTCTTGTTAATTGCAACCCATATTCAACCATATAACGAAATATCTTTCTCATTTCCAAGTTTTCAACCCAACTCTTTTAATGCTGAAATGATTCCCAGCTTTCATAATACCCTCTTCAGTGAACCTTAGTTTCTCTCTCTACATCCATCAAACACCCTCATATTCCATCCATTATCCTTCTAATGATTAAAAAGAGGGTAGACAGAGAGAGAGAGAGAGAGAGAGAGAGAGTCTTACCCATTGTGCTGGGGAACACCATGATGAAGCTGTTAAGCTTCAATTGAGGAAAATGTTTCTTCTTTTAAAACCCCTCGTGAGGAAAACTTGCATATTTAATTACCTAAATACGTTCATTGATTTTCGAAGCATTTCATGGAGTAGAAGGAATGAACTATATGATTGATCACTTATAATCGATACTTTTAATAATCCAAATTTAGTTTCGCAAGACAAACGAGCACTGTAATTTTCCCTTTCACCAAATAGTTTTGTCCACTTGAGCATTTCTCCAAGCAATTTTGGTAGTTAGCTGATGAGTTCTCATGACACCTTCACACACGTCTTCTCTTTCCCCAAAAGCAGATGCTCTTCCAGTCTTCCCCATCTATTTATAGATATGCTTTTGAGCACTCAAAAGTCTCAAACTACGATCTCCAGATCACTCAAAACCCTTCAAAATATTATTATTATTATATCTTCTCTCCACAACAGTGTTAGAACTCTAGATTTCCTAGGTTGATATTATTATTATTATTACATTATGAGCTTCGCCGGACAAATGGATGATGCTGAAGACTTCCAGGACCTGTTCTGTCACATGATGATGTCTTTTGATGAGGAAGACGAAGAGTTCCTCAGAAACATTCTTCAGCAGCAGCCACCTGGTACTGGAAATAATAATGATGATAATAACAACTATCATTTGTCTTCTTCTCAAAGTGAAGATAAATCCTTTCCCACCGTCGATTTCTCTAACGACAGCTCCGGCAACCGTGGTGGTTCGAATGATAACAAAAACCGCGTGATGTCTGCTAAAGCATACATTTTATCGTTTGATCAATCCAACGTAATACCGGCAGAAGAAGCAATCTCAAAGCACGAAGAATATGGTACCTCGGAACTTGGTTCATTAAAAAGGATGAGAGAAACACGTAATGTTGAGCCCAGAAAGAAGGCTAGAAACTGTTCAGAGACTGCGAATCATATAATGGCGGAGAGGAGGAGAAGGCAGCAACTCACAGAGAGATTTATTGCACCTTCGGCAGCTATTCCTGGCTTGAAGAAGGTCAGTTTTCTTCTCTCCTCCTCCTCCTCCTCCTCCTCCTCCTCCTCCTCCTCCTTCTTCTTCTTTAAATAAAATTATCATTTTACAAATATATAAAGAAATCGATTCATATGTAGTATCTTTTTCAGACAAGCATAAAATAGCAATCATGTTGCCACTTCACCACTTGTAAAAAGATAAAGCTAGACCAAACTAATCAATGTGTGTTATAGTATTAGGTAAATCAAATTTGTCGACAAGAAAATTAATCATTTCCAAGCTATATATAATGTATATTGATGTGTGTGTGTGTGTGTAGATGGACAAAGCCACAATTCTTCAAGAAGCCACCAAATACGTGAAGCAGTTTCGAGAGAGAATAACAGAACTAGAGAAACAAAATAGCTTCAACGCATCAGAGTCATCGATGAGATAGATAAAGAAACGTGAGCTACACAGAATTAATGATGATCTGTGCGAAGCAAATGAAGTGCTGCCTCAGATTGATGCAATAGTGCTGGAGAATCAAGTTTTGTTTGGAATATATTATGAGAAGCAGAAGGGAATTGAATTTAAAATATTGACTTTGCTTGAGAATTTTCATCTTCATGTCACAAGCAGCAGCGTCTTGCCATTTGGGAGTTCCACTATTGGCATCACCATCATTGCCCAGGTAAATACTTTTGAACCAAATCATTCATTATGAAAAATAAAGGGTAAAAAGGGGTCATTTTGCCATGAAAGTATTTGCCAAGAAACTATAGGTTTTCAGTAGCTTTTTTTAAATCTTAATATCATCTCAAAAGTGTTAAAAAGGAGTAATCTCGCCTTAACTATTAAAAAAAATTAATGTTAACATTTTTTAATGGTCACTACAAAAAAAACAACTGATTACCGACGGAAAAAAAATTTTGTAGCAAATTAGTGACAGAATTTGCGACGGAAACAAATTCCGTCGCTAATTTTTTCGACGGATTAGTGACGGAATTTTTCTGTCACTAATATTAGCGACGGATTAGCGACGGAATTTCTGTCCGTCACTAATTCGTAAAAAAATCCGTCAATAAATATTTAGCGACAGAATCTTTTTTCGTCAGAAAATTCCGTCGCTAATCCGTCAAAAAAATTAGCGATGGAAATTCCGTCCCAATTCTGTCAGAAATTAGCGACGAAATTTGTTTCCATCGCAAATTCTAAGAAAAAAAATTACATAGGATATATATATACAAGTAGGAGAATACTATTTATCATAATCTATTTAAATCATTTAATTTTTTATATAGAATAATTTATTAGATTTTATTATAGTAGTTATTTTTTGAATAACAAGATTTTTTGACTAATTGTAAATGATTTTCTTCAAATATATAAAACACATATACATAATATAATATAATGTAATATAATATATATAATTAAATTGTATATCTTATCAATGTTAATTAAAAAATAAATTTAAAAAATATTTATAAAAAAATATTTATGATTTAAAATTCAAAATTAGTGTTGTTAGAAATTAAAATTATATTACAAATATTTTTTTTAAAAATAAAACATTATAAAAAATAGTAAAACAAATATTTAAAAAATTATTTTTTCATTAAAATGGTTATGATTAAAATTATCATATAGTATATTTTTAGTTTTTAATAATATATATATAATTGTTCGTGTAAAATAATATAATATATATTTAATTTTACATAATAAGTCAACAGGTTCATTGCAGCTTAACTGGTAAAGCTGCACGTGCACGCGGAGGAGGTCCTGGGTTTCAAGCCATGGAGAAGTCACTTTGAGGAGGGAATTCTGTGATGGTGACACGTGGCGCACACGTGGTAGTAAAGGTGAGGTGGCAGCGACACGTGAAGGTGGTCCCCAGTGATGACGTGGCAATTGCTTGAGGTGCCACGTGGCATTTTATTTTATTTTTTAAAAAATCAAGTTAGCGACAGAATTTCAATTCCGTCGGTAATCAATTAGTGACAAAGGAATTAGCGACGGAACAAATTCTGTCGTTAATTTCGTTGCTAATCCTAATCTGTCGCTAATTCCGTTGCTAAATAAAAAATTTCGTCGCTAAAAGCATGTTTTTTTGTAGTGGGTTAGGGTGATTCCCTTTTTAATACTTTCATAATGGTATTGACCCCAAAAAAAAAATCAGATAGTCATAATTCTTTCGTGAATACTTTTTGAATAAGAAATGATCTTTAGCCTAAAAATAAATTAAATAGACTTAAACAACAAAAGAAGGAAAAGAAATAATATAGTAACTTGATCATGGACAGTTGAATTAATCTTGAATTATCATGACTTTCATTGCAAATGGGTGAGGAGTACGGAATGACAGTGAATGAAGTGATGAACAGCCTATGACAAGTTCTACCTCTGTCCCATTAAAGTTGATCCGTGCTATTCACCAAAAAAAAAAAAAAAGTTGATCCGTGCTAGTGTATCAATCAAACATGTGCTTGATATTATAATTTATCTGTAGCTTTATGGACTTGGGTGTTTTTGCAGAGTACGAAGTTGCTCTCTCTCTATATCAATAAAGTTATTGGTGATGAGTGTGTTTTAGAATAATTGTCGCATTGTATCCTTTTGGATATTGCAGTGGCCAATTAATAGAGTTATTGGTGTGATCATGTGTGTGTTTATAACATAAATTGTTAAGTTATCATTCGCTTCTCACATATATCAAAAGAGACTAAGTTATGTTGTGGTGGGGTTGTGGGACTTGAATTTATCATAAAATTTTATTATTCGTGTTATAAGTTACATTTATTATTAAATAGCCAAAATGCATGCGTCTTTCACAATTATATAAAGGGAAAACCCATACGCAGGTCCTTATATTTTCATCCCATTTTGAATCAAGTCCCTAAAGTTATTTTTTATTTTATGGGATCCTTAATGTTTTAACCGTTCTATTCGTTGATCCTTCTGTTAACAAAACGTTAAATTGATATTAAACACCGTTAAAGATCTTAATATGGTGGACGAGTGGATCAGATGCCGCAACCCATTCTCTTTCACCACTATAGAAGACCCTGCCATTGATTTCCAATTCTTCCCCCAAAGTCACTTGCAAGGAGCAAGTCGCAGTCCGACGATCCTCCAAACATCATCACTCTGCCTCTAAATAGAATGATATAATGACGACACAAGTCCCACCAGATGCACTCGCTAACAGCATGGTCTTTTCGTCATTGTTCACTACTAAAATTAAACCCAATTCCTGCCACTCCTACTACCGTCCTCTTTGGCCAAACTATGGCTTCTTTAATTTCCCATATTTAGTTTTCGAAGTAAAAGGAATAAGGTCACACAAGATTTAGTTGCACGTTACTTCAGCATCGTTGCTCACATAGAGAGGTTTCTTATACTGGTAGGCTTGAGGGACTGATTGTGAGATTTTGCAAGAAAGTTCATAGTCGAAAGTGACTAAGATCATTGAAGTTCGAGAATGAAACAAATAATAAAAAATGAAAGCTCCCTGTGAGTTACGTTCTCCTCACTGTCCTCTTCTTTTTACTCCAGGAAACATAAAATCCTATTTAAAGTTTGGAACTATCCTTCATAGTTTTGATCATAAAATTTTGAGGAGTGTCGAACTGGGACTTACCCTCTGCAGGTGGCCATGGGGGAAGAATTGGAAATCACTGGCGGGGTCTTCTACAGTGGTGAAAGAAAATAGGTTGCCACGTCTGATCGACTCACCCACTATATTAGGATCTTTAACGGTGTTTAATCTCAGCTTAACTTTTTGTAAACAGAAGGATTAACGGATAGAACGGTTAAAATATTAAGGATCCCATAAAATGAAAAAAAAACTTCGGGGACTTGATTGAAAATGGGACAAAAATATAAGGACTTACATATTAGTTTTCCCTTATATAAATATGCCAATTCAAAACCTCATACATAAACATATATTAATCAAATTTCAATTTACATTTACTTCCAATGGCACATGTTAATATATATTTATTAGGACTCCATCATTTTCGAGTAACGTAGGGCTCTTCCTTCTGATACACTCACAGGCAAACTTCAACAATTTTAAGGTTCATAATTAATTTTTGCATATATAGAAGTGTTTGGCTTTGAGTTCATCAAAATTAATTTTGATATATATAAATATGTTTGGACTTTAAAAAGAAAAAGACCCATGATTTTGACTTTTATAATTGATCATGAAGAGATCCAAAAACAGACCCTTAAGAGAGAAAACATTGCAAAATATACATGTAGATTCTTCTAGCCTTCCCTATTCGGTACCCCTAGCTAATTACTATCTGGATCCTAAATATAAGAGCTAGTTAGGAAATTAAATTTGGTTCTAGATATTAAAACCTCAATTCATTTTGTCTTCTAAATTTATAATATTTTCTCCAAAATATTCATATTAATCGTCAAGGGTTTTACCGAGGAATAATTTCAATATACATTATTAAATATGGTAATTTAAAAAAGTTAACATATATTTATTATAAATAACTAATTTAATTAACTAATTTTTCTAATATCTCTAAATTAATTATCTAGCTCTAGTATTAAAGACGAGAGGTAGTAGTATCAATCAAAGACAAACATATAGATTTTGGCCCCAGGGATGCGTGGAAAGACAATTTGCAACTTTTTTATAACATGTCCACAATTGAAGGTGACACTAGAAAACAGATCGGTGAGCCCTTGTTAGGTAAAGTTTAGTCTAAAAAAATAGAGTATGAACAGAGAGAATATTCAAAGGATTTGCAGTACAAAATGGAGTAATGGACCGGCCGCAAGATTTGCTCGTCTCTCCCTTCTTTCTCCTCTGAGAGAGTGCTTATACGATTCACGTTTATACTTTATCCAACATAATGTGATATAAATTAAAGTCTTTTTCTTCTTGACCAAAGTTTAGACTTTAATTACAATCATTTCTTCTTTATTGTTATGTGGCCAGTGAAATTCTTCCCTCCTGCTCTGACGTCAAAGGATAGATAGTTGTATTCTAACAACCAAACATGACATTTCTTTTCGTTTTTTTGTTGAGAATAAATGTCAAATTTTTATGTAAATTGCGATAAACATTGCCTAAAAAAAGTCGTATTTAAAATATGCATTTCATTATTGGTGGGTGTCATTATTATTTTCTCTCCATTTTTTTTTTTGCAACACTTGAGAGATGTTCTTGGACATTTTTTTTTTTAAATTTGACCTAACCCAATTTGATTTGATTGGGCGATATATCGACCAAGTCGAATTAAGTTCATCTAGCTAACCAAGTTAATGAACAGCCCTAATTATTCCTAACATGAATAATTGGCTAATTAGTTCATTGACAAGCAAAGTTTTGGTTTGGGGGTTCTTTGTCATAAAAGTAATTACTTTTCACTTACATCTTTCTAGCTTGATTGTTTTATAATATAATTGAATAATGTTTTTAAA